GGGAGCCTGCTTCTCCCTCTCCCTCTGCCTGCCTCTCTGCGTACTTGTTCTCTCTCTCTCTCTCTGTCAAATAAATAAATAAAATCTTTAAAAAAAAAAAGTGCATGGGCAAAGGGTAGGGGCAGGCAAGTCTTGTGTTTGTCTGGCTTGACCTCTTCGATGTCTATTGGCCCACATCTCTATGAAAAGTTCAAGAAGGCCATTGACTTCTGTAAGAAAACAAGAATCCCAAGGGAAAGTGAAGATATAAGTACTCCCTTCCATCCTTGTCAAAGACGGTGTGGTCAGTGGAGTCTCCTCCAGCCTGGCTTGCCGCCTTACCTTGCCCCATTCTCATTCCATGCCGTACACCCTCGCGCATCTCCTCTCCTATCCTTCACATTCTTTTCTAGACAGTTTCAAAGTCTAAAGTTGTGTGTCTGCCCTCAGCTTAGAAATCAAGCCTGAGGATATCCTGTTTGAAGATGTCGTTCCTAGAATCTCTGATGGCTTCTTCTTAAGAGACTCAGGAACTGGTAGACTTTATCTGATACACTTTGTATCTTTTGGAGGTAAAGTAGGCAGCCAGTTGAGGCATCTGGAAAGAGCATTATAAATGTCAGAAGATATTGCAGTCCTTTGACTAGTAACACTGTTGGGCAGCAGAATGCACTTACATGAAATTTTATTACCCAAACCCTGTTAGTTATGAAATGACAATAGCAGAGCTATTTTTCATTAACTATAATGATCGATACTAATGCGGTTTTCAGTTTGGATCCAAATAACATAATTTAAAAAAGAGAGAAGTTAAGGTGATTATCAAAACATGAATACACCCAACCTTTTCTCTCTTGTTAAGAAAATGTATATTTAAAAGCTTAACTGGTAATTCTAAATATTTCCAATGTGTGCTGAGGGAATTAATGGTTCTGTGAAAACCTTCAGGTTTACATTTCTCTCATTTTGTATTTATACTTTTCTCATCCATATTGCCTCAATGCAGGGACCACTGTTTATTTTTATATTTTGCATTTACTGTGTTTAGTTTTAAACACAAAGTATAAGTAATGAGAGACTGAAAGGCAAAGGAAAACCTTTTCTGTATCCATGTGACACTCTATGAGAATTGGTGAATTCTCTCTTACACTGTGCCCACTATAAATATACCATCAGCAAAATTGTGGGCTTGCAGAAAACCAATACCTCAGCTGGGAACTTGGCAATTTAAAACTTTGAAAACCCTTTTGCTTTTCTTATTTTTCAATCACACCCTAAAATTTTTGAATTATTTTTTCCAAAGAGATACTCTTTCCCTCCTGAAATCATATATTATTGCTTGGAGGGTCAAACAATGGGTTTTAACTGCCTGCACAATTCCAACGAGGCTGAAGAGATTTATTTTGAATTTTGCAAGATAATTGACATTTAAAACTACTGAGGTACACAGGGATACTCTTTTGCAAACTCTTGAACAAATGAAAGCAAAATCATCAAATGAAAATTGATGTGTGAATTTTTAAGTCGAAAAGTCAAAAGAATTTTTCAGTGATAAGCAAATTGTTTACTCCATAGAAGATCGGGTTTTAATATGACTTTACATTAGCTATTCAAACTCTGTGGATTTAAATTTCCATATTGTACTTTTGCTAATTTACCATGTGATCCACATTTTTCTTCTTAATGTATGCAAAAGATTTGAATGGTGCATAATAGCATTTTAATGTATTATCTATATATTTCATCTTTGTAATTAAAGATGGCAGTGTTAATAGACTTCCTATATGCATATAGGTTGGTTAAATACATTTTTCACAGCAAGTAACCTTTCAAGAATGCTTCAGTTTGATATATATATTTTGCGGTCTTATCTCCCACTGGTTAGATAATCTTTCATAGTTCAGCCTTCTTAGGCACAATTCAGAATTGTGGGAAAAAATAATCTTTGAGCATTTGTTGATCTCCCTGAGGACTGTGTGACTAGAGCCCATCACTGAAGGCTGGGTGCTGCTCAAGACCTCTAGTCCTGGGAGGGTGGAGCCCATTGGCCAGTGTCTGTAGGTTCCTGTGGCCTCCCCCAACTGCTGGCTCCTTGGGTGTTTCTAGGCACCTTGTTTCTGGGAGCCCCAGGTGAGCCCTGGACACACAGTTTTCTTCAGGGAGAAACAGTGTAAAGAACAAGGTTCTGGGACAAAAGAGGCCACAGGTGCTGCTGTGGAGTCCCAGTGTCCAGGAAATAGAATG